CTTTCTTCTTCTGCAGTTCTTGATTTATTCCAATTTTGTTTTCCTCACACGTTTTCTGAAAATAAAAATTTCTTAAATAGAAACATGAAGAAATTAAAACTTCTTTGTAAAATTATACTAATACTTTTTAAGGAGGAACAAACAAAAAAATTAAAAAAAAGAAAAAAGATAACAAACAAGGAAAATACAAGTTTTCAAAACACAGCATAAAAAAAAAAAAAAAAAAAAATTAATTTAGAGGTTATTTTTATTTCCTTTTAGAGAATTGTTAAATTTAAGGACATCAGACTACAGGTACCTGAAGGAAACCAGAGGATACAATGATCAAATAAATCAACCAAAATGAGGACACCAGTTTGAAAAAAAAATCAACACATAATAATCATTGTTATAGAAAAATGTTAAAGTTATACTTATTTATAACTCAAATATAAAAATTTTATAAAGGTTTACTTATGCAGTAATAGTTATTTATAATTTGCAATTTCATTTTGGAAGGAAGAAAATACTGAAACTTCTAGAAAAGACAGTATTCTACAAAAGTATAAAATATATTCACAAATGATTGTAGACAAACTGGAGAAGGATCTCTCAACATTTTAAGTTGTTAAATGAGGCATCACCATTTTTAGTGAAGTACAGAAATCATTGACAGTCACATCCACTTTCTTTAGTTTTGAGGGGGATGAGGGAAGGAAGGAGAATCAAACCCAAGTACAGATTAAGAATGTTAAACTGCTTAAAATTAAATATTATCATCAGGACATCTGATCTCAAAGATGAGATGGTCAACCAACTGAAAGTCTCACAATTATGAAAGGTTGATCTACTATAAGAAACTGTAACAGGCTCTGATTGAATTATACTAGTGCATGGAAAATGGTTAATGACTTGAGGTATTCAGAATCTTGATAATTTTGAGCAAAAGAGTAGAGATAACAGGAAAAAACTGTGAGAGAGTAGTTAATTGGGATGGAGTCTGATGAAAAAAAAAAAAGTCCTGTTGAAAATATTAATTTAAACCTATAAAATACTTATAAGAGAGGGCCTTGGAAGAGTTTGAACACAAATTAAAGTAAGATTCAGCATAACTGATACCCTGGGCACAACTCCATAATCCCAAGGAAGTTGGCATGACATGACTAATGGGTTTGCCAAAAGTCCAAAGCATTTTTAGGTAACTTTAGGGCTTGTTTAGTTTGTAACATATTCAGCAGATTCACATGGATCTCAATTAAATTTTTTTTAGAAATCCAGGCAAAAAAAAAAAAAAAAAAAAAAAATCGAAAAGCAATTTATGGTTGACCATCTGTTTTTTTTTTTGTTTTTTTTTGAAAGGCAGTTCTTTGTTTGTGAAGCTAATCCATTCAAGAATCCTATACAAGCAAAATACACATGCAGAGAAATCAGACAGCACAGAGGAGAGATGCCAGTTGCTCAGAATCATCGAAGCACACACCCCCAGAGAAGACACTCTTGGAGAGTCATCTGCATCCAAGCCTTTCATCTGCCATAGAAGACGGTCACTGCAAAGGCATTAGCAGTCACACACCTCTTAGAAATAGATGTCTCTCAGTGTCTCAAGTTTAGAAAGGAAGAAATTGAAATGAATTAGTTGTACAATTTGTTTTTACATTCCATCCTTAATTAAATTGTTAAGTTTTCAACAGCACCATTTCTTTTGTGGTCACATTAAGTCTTTTTCACCCAGCATTGAAGAAATGGTAAAAATAGGCACATAGCACAACATATTCAAAACATAATTGAAACCTTAAAAAAAAGAAAAAAATCTTAAATAACATGAAAAATAAAAAAATCTCAAAACAATGAAACCTTTGCCTAGAGGAGAGAATAATAATGATTACTCCTAAACAAAAGATTAGAGCTCATTTCTTTCTTCACTACCTACATCACAACTAATGAGCCATAACCTGATACTAATAAACTTTCTTTAAAAGCAAATACCAAACTTTAGAACCATAAAAATTATACAAAAAGTAAATAAAAATAAAACTCAAGGTTAAGATGACAGATAATGTAAAAAACACTAGCCATATTCAAATATCTTGCAAAAATGAGTTCCTCCCCGACAATTTCTCTTAAGACCCCAGTGGTATATATCTATAACACAGTAATTAAAAGGTCCTCAGTACCTATCAAAAAACTGTTAAAAATAAAATGTGTGCTCAATTCACTACAACTACAATACCAGTGAGAACTAAACATTAAAACCCTGAAATTTGTTTTAAACAACTCATTTTGAAAAGAAACATAGGCCTTATTCATTAGTAGTAACAGGGAAAAGTATCAATACTAAACATTGAACAGCTTCAAAAATCTAAATCAGAAGGAACAGCTGCTGCACTTACACAAGAAATTGCAAATCAATAAGGTAATAAATAGACAACATTTGAGAATAGAATTCAGATTTTCAGGCAAAAAGTTTTTCAATCTATTATTCACATCTTTGTAGTTTTTAATATAGTCAACATTCTTCCTCATTGTAATTAGTTTAAATAAATAAACAGCAAATTCTGGGGTCATCTGTGGGTCTGAAGCCCCTCCAACTTGGGGTATGCTTGCTCTACACTGACATATTATACTCTTTTGGAATCAGGATGATCCCATGATTGAAAACTTGCCCATCATCTGGTGCTTGAACATCCAGTATTGAGATCTGTGTCTAGATGAGAGGTGAACAGTTAAAAATTCAAATTTTAAAATAACTAGAAAAAAAATTATATATATATATATATATATATATATATATATATATATATATATATAAAATTTTAAGTTTTTACTTTATAGAGTTTAAAGTTTTGGAATTTTAAAAAAAGAAAAAGAAATTGTTTTAAATTCAGTTTAAAATATCTCCAAAACTTTGTGAATTGAGGAAATCAGTTTTATTTCTTCAAAACACCAAAGAAGCAGAATTCAAGTGAGAGGTTTCATGATGTGAAGTTTTGAAGTTCCGCAGACCTTGTGATTTGAAGAACTCAATGTTCGACCTGAATTGGAATTAGAGTTAAAGTTTTGAAGTTTCATGGAGTGAATTGAGGAATTCAAAGTTATTTCTTCAAAATTATTGCTGTTTTTTAAACTGGACCAGAAGTCTCTTTAGTTTTGAGCCTGAGGTCCAATTAACCCTCCATAGGAACTAGCTTAAAAATCCACACTAAATTAAGCTTTTAAGCTAGTTTTTAATATGTAAGATTGTGCTAACAGAGATAATTAAAAAAAAAAAAAAAAAAAAAAAAAAAAAAGCTGATGTTTTAATCAGTCATGAAATGAGTTGATCCAAGAACTTTCAGGACCACCCTTATATTTAAGTTAATATAGTCTTCAACTTTGCTCAGATGTAAGTGGTATCTCATGGTCTTCAGAAATCACTTATCTTTTTCACTTCCTCAGTCTAACAGAATCACAAGGTCAAATATCAAGGTCTTGTATTAACACAAAAAATAATAGTTCCTCAGAACTTCAGAAAACAATGGTGTAAAGTAGCTTCAATTTGTGAAACTGATAAAGCCATCTTAACATTTCTTTGATTTGGAAATTTTACATTGCAACTAATTTATACACATTTTAGCATATTTTAAAACTTTATATTTTTTTTTATGTTGAAAATAATTATTTTTGTTTTAGTCATTTTCCTTCTTCATAGAATTTCAAAAGGTCTCCTGCTCAGAGATCAACACAAGGCCATTTGAATAATGTTCAACAAAAAGAAAAATCCTTGGTAAAAATATACTATTTCAGTTTTCTTTAGAAATGAAACCTTAACACTTAGTACTGTTATTATATGGTATTCTTGAGATGATAATTACTAAGAAGCATTCAAAAACCCACAAAATGCTAAAATACACCTAAAGAAAATTGTATTCAAAATGACAAAGAGGAGAATAGTAATCTGAAAAATACTGAAAATAATTTACAAACTTTAAACAACAGTTACCAATCTAAAGATCTGAAGGTAAATATTGTGTGGATATAAAATATTAAAAGTTAAAATAAAGGTAATAGATATAAGAATATCCAGCAATATAAAATCAGGACTTAATTTATTAACTGTGGTTTAATTTGAGATACATGGTACCCTTCAAAATAGACATCACCAAACACAAGTGAAATTAATTGCACTCAGCACAAAAAAAAAAAAAAAGGAACACTATATTGACCTGTCTTTAGCTGTGTAAATTTCAATAAATGTAAAAGTGATCAATCAAGACAGGGAAAAAAAAGCTTAAATAATTACATTTGGTCTTATGCCAACCATAAAATAACCTTGTATTTGAAGTAGTACAATAACAGTTAAAGCAAGACTAGTTTCCTAAGGCAAAAGATGGAATTCGTCTTGCCAACAGATTAATCTATTTTTGATCTCCAGGATGTTTACCTAGTAGTTAACAAAAATTCTGATGAAAGAAATAAAAAAAAAAAAAAAAAAAAAAAAAAAATTTACAATATTTCACCTAATAAAAGATTTGATAATATTCATATAACAATAGCAGTTGACCATTTTCTCATTTGTTTCAAACAACTGCTAGAGATGGTTAAATATAAGGTTGTAATGAAAGTTCTATCAGATTTTTAACAGCATATTTTGAACAAGATATAATGAAGCCCATTTTTAACCGATATTTGCCAGTGTCTGCATAATAAATACATCTCATTTTACAGATTCTGTGAAAACTATTTGTGGAACCATGAGAACCATGTAAATGCAGTAGGAAAATCCATTAAAAGTACATACGATAATGGCATAGAGTATAAAAGAAAATGTAGGAAACAGTCTTTGGTCTAAAAAGATTCATCATCATTCAACCTCCCTGTGGTTGGGTGGAACTCCATTAACATTCCCTTTCCACACTGCTCAGTCCTGCATTGCTGTCTCCAGATCCCCAATGTCCAACCCAGAGTCTTGAGCCATAAAGGTGTTGTCTTGTGAAAGTTGACTTTTCCAGACATTATGGCTTTCTTCTTTCATCTTGCTTTCTTCCGTTTTTAATGTAAAAATACTTTAAATCTACAGGGGGGAATGATATAGCAAGA